TTATAAATGTTTGTCAGTATTTATAGATATTTATGCAAGTATTTTAGGAATTAGGACAATAATTTTTATAAATTTAAAAGTATAAATACTCATAGCTACAATTAAATTTTCGTGTCGCAGTACAAAGGCTCTGCACGTGCACAAGCCTTATGAAACTTTTTGGTTATCGCACAATAACAACAACGGATGAGCTAACTCGCCAGCGAATATTCCATATTTGATTAGCTTTTCAACCCTACAAAAGAATATGTATAATTTTATATTTACACTTTTTTTCTTCAAACTAATAATTTTTCAAACTTTTTCTTATTTAGATGTTCATTTAATGTTAAGTTTTTTTTAGTAATTTTCAATCTTTTTGCTTCTTGTAGGTATAATAAACGTGCGTGCATTTCAGCATGCAATTTCATCTACTAAGCAAGAAGAACTACATGGACATACACGACTTCGTGGTTTAATTCAGCATTGGTTATCCTAATTTACACCTTCATGTCACGAACAAATAAATTTACATACATCAATATAACCAAGGAAATCACCAGCTGAAAAAATCAACAAAAATAACTATGAATTGTTAAAAATCTGGCGTTAAATTTTGGCACATTTTTTCAGAATTGAAGGTGTTACTATTTGTAAATCGTTTTAAGCACTCTGTGGTTAAATAGGTGCATTCTGTGGTTAAATAGGTGCATTCTGTGGTTAAAAAAAGTGCATTCTGTGGTCTTCAATCACCGCGGCAGCATTCCTGTACGAAAGTATACTTGCGATACGATTTCATAAAACTGCCACGTCGCAACTGACAGCCTCCTGTCCAGATAAACTTCCTCAAAATTTGTTCACTACAGAAAAAAAGTTTCCCATCAAACTCATCTTATAGATATTAAAAAATATTTATGTCTACATATGACAATGATGAATGATAATAAAAAAATAATGCAAATATTTGTGGTTATGTTTGTGTAATTTCGAATAAAAAAATAGCCGAAATTTAATATTGGCACAAAATTGCGACATAAAATAGAAATAAATAAATGATTGTCGCTGTCACAGGACGCCTCTCAGCGTTAATAGATTATTAAAATTTTTGATGGAGTGCGAGCAAGGGAGTCCTAGTGAAAAAAATGCGGAAAGCTTTTCCTGGTTCATGATGCATAGCCAAGCATACACACGGATAAACCAGCACCGTTTGAAAATAGCTTGCTTGGCATTGTGGATTTGTGATTGTAATGATGATTGGGGCATGGTTGAAATGTTACCTTATTCGTTGAGTTATTTAGTGGTCAAATGCGGGCATTTTGTTGCGGATGGATGTACACACAGATGGAATGACGGCAGAGAACACAGGGAACACAGTGAAAGTAGTCACGCTAGCTGCCACGCTGCTGCTATTTAAAGCTCATGAATATTCATGAATTTCTGTCAACATCATTTTCTTATTCGTCGTCATCCTCTTCCTCACTACGAGCGAACCAATGTGATATGTCTGCAGATCTATAATTATATAGATAGAAGTGTAGGTTGCTTGGTTGGTTGGTTTGTCTGTTGGACAATACCACAACAAATATGGCTACGTTTAGATTTGTACATCCAAAAATTATTTGGTTTTTAACATGTATTTATAGATAGTTCCTTTGGATCCGGATTACTATGCCATGAATAAATAAAATATTTGCGTTCGATTTTTTGTACTGAGTTACGAGTCGTATAAATTGGTAAATAAAATGCAATAGTTAGAATTAGTAGAATAAATAAATAAAATGAACGTTGTTGATCAACTTAACTGGTTAGCGAATAAAATATAAATGTGATTTCAACGAGAATACAAAAAAAGATGTCGCTTTTGTACACCAGAGGTTGGTTACTCCTTTTATTTTAATTATTTCCGGTTTTTGTCCCTTTAATTCGGCGGCGTGTGCTTTAAATTCAAAAACCGAATTCTGAATTTTAATGATTTCAATTTTGTTAATGATTTAATGAATTGTCTGCATATTATATTTTTAAACTGTTAACGTAATAATTGTTTTTTATATTGATTTTTCAAGTAAAGAAAGGAGCTCTGTCCGGTCCGCCAGGTAAGAAAAAAATACATCTAAAAATTTTTTCAATAGTATAGCTATCTGCTATAGTTATAGTAGTATCTAATCAAAATTTTCAAATGAACAATCTATAACTAAATTCAATTTGTATTGTGATTATAATTATAAGTTTGTTGAAATTGGTTTTGGGTTTTAATTTTAGTAGGTTTTTTTATTTTATTAAAATATTATTGGATGAATCTGCTATGCTCTTGCAAACTGATTCTTGAAATAATTTAATTTTAAAATTTTATAATCCAATCCAGTTGAATACTGTCCAAAATAAAACTAAACTAAAATGAGGGATGTAACAGCAAAATAAATTTAATTTATATATTTGTAGGTGTTTTGAAGGTATAAATTACTCAAGAGAAATTTTTAAGTTTATGAAGTTAAGCAAGTAAATTTTTAAGATTTAGTTTTGGACTGCTTGGTGAAGTTTGTTTTTTTTAAAGATCAAAGCGGTTCAGTTAATAATAAACATAAAATTAAAGACAGATCAAGTTTATCATGTGATTTTATTACTTGAGTTACATTCATCCAACCAAATCAAATAGTAATAGATTTATTAATTTATGGAAGTCGGTGTTGTGGAGAAATTAAACTTTAATTTATTTATCAAAGCTTGTCTAAATTGAGTAGTTGATTAAGTGTGAATTGTTTAAACTTTTCAAATATCAATCACAAAATACATCGATAATAGTTAATTTTTATAGGTAGGAATTGTAGTTGGTCATTAGAATATTTTAAAATGTTACATGTATTTGTTATCTTTAACAAAAGTGTTCTGTTTTTAAAATAAATCATGAAAAAATTTCTTAAGGTAATTTTTGGTATCTTTGCTTTATTCACCAATGGATCCATTCTTAATTACGGAGAAAAGTTTTTAAAGAATCATATTATACACATTATTATATTCTTTGGAAAGCAAGAATAATTACATTTTCTGTAAGGCTTCACTAATCTTTCTATGTTATTCTTGCAAAAGTAGGTATGTCCATGAACACTCATCATATTTGTTTGTAAACTCACTACAGCTTGATGTAGATAGATTTTATCTGACAATATCTAAAGTTACTATGGTGAATCTAGATGCAGTCAGGATTTTTTGTTATATATACATATATTACATTTTTACTTTTAGAACATTCAAATATGCTATTCAATGTTGTCATTCCTATTTTTGTAAAAAAAATATGCTATAGTTTGAAATAAAAACTAGATTTTGAGATTTATTTTTATTTAAAGTAACATTTTTTTTCATAGATAAGTTCCACACATATGTAATCCTGAAACTGCAGAATGTCAAATCATCTACATTACCTGTTAAAGGCAAGAATCCTGTCTGGGATCAGGATTTTGTTTTGTGAGTTAATTGAAAATTTTTCAATTTCAGCTTTGTTATTGTATGACAACGTAAAAATTGTAACAGAGAGTATGTTCTAACTAAATTATTTACTAGCAAAACTTTCACCGTTGTATCTTGATTGGTTTTTTCTGAAAACACTTTTTTAATTAATTTTCAATCATGTTCTTTACTTCAAACAATCAACTCTTGAATATTTTTAAGGTCTATGAAAATTTCAACTTCTTTTTTTTTTTAATTTACTGCCAATTTTTTCAATGAAGAACAAAAAACTGATCAACATTTTTTTCAAGAATTTCTGATATAATATGATGATGAGATAGATGAGTGTATGTACGACATTCTTGTTTTCAAACAAAAATGTTAAAATAGTTTATATTCTAATTAATTATCAGTTATATATAGGAGCTGTAAGCAACAATTTTGATATTTTGAAAAACAAACAAAGTAGTAATGAATTGTTAAAAAAGGCTAAAACCTTTAGAAGTGATGAAATTTCAGCCAAGTAAAATGAAACACATTTAAACAATCTTTCACCACATTTGTTGTTACTTTCTTTTTGGTCATTTTTAACAATCATCATCATTATCAACATGAGCATTTTACAATTAAAAGAGAAAAAATTAACAGAAGAATTTCTAGGGAATAAACCACAAATAAAACATTTTTCATCTTGCATTTGTTTATGCTAGGTCTCATTCCTTAAAACTTTTTCACTAAAGCTATATATTCATTAAAAGTGATACATTCTTTATTATTTTTACATCTTCTTGCTATTTGACACATCTTTTTGATTAATTATTTAGTGATCTTTTCCTCTGAGGTATGATGATTGCTCTGCCACAGTTCAAAATTTTTATTATATCTATATTACTAAACTAATGATACAAATGAATCCAAGGGTCTCTCGTTCTCTAATATTAGGTGGAGGGTTTGATTTTAATATGAGCACACAGTTCATGAATAATTTATTTTTACATCAACATTATACTCCTAACATTCCTTTCCAGGCATTTCACTCCTTGTGTACACTCCATTAACATCCATTTTTTCATTCCTGTCCATTCCTGAAATAGCTGGAGCATTCACATATGGACTCACTTGTGTTCCAAACTATTTAATTTATTTGCTTTGAAAACATTTTATAATGTTTGGCCGGCAATGTTTACCATTGTGTGTATCTGTATTTATGCATGTGTATGCCTTATGTCTTATCTATATCAACTATTTCATTTGTTTGTGTGCATTTTGTATATGTCACAGAAGAGTCATTTTTATTGTTTGAAAATTTGTATAATTTTGTATAATCTTTTCAGATGTGCTTTTTCTTATAGTGATGTATGTATGTTTGTTTGTATGTATGCAATATTTTGATTGCCCCATCCTTTCAATGGAGTGTGCAATTAATGTTGTTTCATGTTGAAGTATTATATAAATGAATATATGCCAGCTTGCGACCAGCATGTTCTGCATGCAAATGACGTTTAGGATTATAAAAAAAAAAATAAAAATTTTGTTATGTTCGTATATAATTTTTAGCTTCATTTTGCTAGGATTGGCATTTTTATTTGATGTTTATGAACATGATATAATAATGTTTGGGTGTGCTTTTTCAGCATAAAATTATTTTTTTACTAAGAGCATATATTTATTATATATATTGGCTTACTTCCCTAGTATATGATCTGATATTCTGCTGTCTTGTAAGTTTTAAGGATGGATGTAGTTGCTAGGTGTCATTTGAAGAGTTGTATCATTGTTTCTATATATTTTATTATTTATGATGTTATATAACTGTTGATTAATAAATATAAAAGTATTATATAATATTTGACTTTACATATTAGTTGAAGTGTTTAGATTGTATTTTACTTTAATTTTTCATTCTATTCTGTTGAAAAATTCTCAAAAATTAAATTAATTCAGTTTACCTTCATAAAACATGATAAACATCTTTATGAAAATGTTAAATTGATTTATGAAGACTTTTATTTAGTTACTAACGCTGGAAGATTCTTACTCATAGCCACTGGCCTGTAAATTAATTTTTCATGTACTTTTCATGTTTCAAATTTTATATATTTTACTTATTGCGTTATGCCTTTTAGATGCTACACATACATCTGAACCAAGAAACATATCTGTCAAGAAATAATTGTTTTAATGTTACAAACAAAGTACAGTATGGCATTTTAAAATGTTTAGACTGCATTTGAAATAAACCAAGTTTAATCACACAAAAGGAGGTAGATTGAAAATTAAATATAGCTAGAATCTGATGAAAAATATTCAGCCCATTATATAAAATTACCAACGTTAAATAAATTTCAAATTTTAAGATTTGTTTTTTGAAAATATAAACAGAGAGATGCACTCAACAATTTTTACGAAAAAATTTTTTTACAGATTCAAAAATATTGTGTTATACTTGTTTCAATTAGATTTAATTTTGTACTTGAATTCTCAGTTTATGAAAAATTTTCAACATTATTTATATTTTGTTTAACCGTTGCAAGCAAGCACATTTTGCATCTTCTCTGCAGAAAATTACATGCCTATTATTTGGTCATTAGAATGTTTGCATGCATGTGGAATGACTGTGTGTAATGAACCAACAAGAGAGCAATGAATTTTTTTTTTCAAATTTATTCATCGGTCTTCTGAATTTTATTTTCTTCTTTTTTGGTTTATCTTTGCTTTTTTCAATTTATTTTCAGTGTATTGATTTATCATTTAGTGTTATGTACTGACAAGAAGGTGCGGTATGTTGATTTTGTGAAATCATCCACTCCAAATCAGGAAGTTATATATATTCTTTTTTTTTATTGGTGTACTACTATATACGCTTGCTGTATTAATGTTGGCATGGAGGTGCACTTGAGTTCATGTGTGAGCTTGCATTTAGGCACAAAAGCAATAACACATTTTGTTTTTAAACATAAAATTGTAGTGAAAGTCAAATGCAGTGATGCTTTCTTTACTCAACTACACAATTTCAAACTTAAAGTTAGGAGTTTGATAAAAATTAGAGAAATAACTAGGGGGTTTCTTCTTCTCTGTGGTGAGTTTATGTTTAACAAAAATGAAACCAACTAACATACACAGACTGGCTGGTAATAATGGTATGGAAAAGAGGAAAATTTTATTGGCATAATGTTTTTTTTTTATTTTTTAAATGAATTTGCTTGTTCCTCCTTGTTTCCATTGCTATGCGCGACCTACATGTATGTACACAAAACTTCCTGAAATGGTTCTTTTTTCAACGTTTAAAATTTACTTTAACATTGCTATTTCTTTCTATTGTTGTTTACTTTAAAATATTCAACATCCATGTCATGAATGCCTTTATGATTTAGTTTTAATTCATTTTATACAAATTTCTTCTTACTGAAATATTTAAACATCTTTTATTTATTTCTTACTTTAGAAAGACAATAATTATTTTATCATAGTAAAATAACTGTTTTGAAGATTTATTTTACAAACAGTGGAATATTTTTACATTGTTTTATAATTTCAACCTGAACGTATACATTTCATCCTTCCAGTGAAACAATGAGATTGGACACAGTACTGGTCATTGAATTGTGGAATAAAGGATTGTTATGGGACAAAGTGCTTGGCACTCACTGGCTACCACTGGCTACCATTAGCATTTCTAACACTGTTTGTAAATTTTTGGTGCCTAATGCTGAATATATATTTTTTGTATCACTTTAGATGGTTTTTTTTTAGTTTGAAAGATTCCGTATAATCAGTTGAAAAATTTTTCATCATTTTACTTTGTAATTTGATGTTGGTCCGCATCGTATCTATATATATTTTGGTTATGTGTGCATTTTTTTATTTTTTCCTAGAGTTCCACATCAGAAATAGATTCTTTGCTTGTTTTTTTTTTAAATAAAGGATGGTGATGGTCAATGGATCTCAATTGACAGTGAGATAGTGCTGAAGAATGGAGAGACGTTTGGGACACAATCTCCTACCGGTCATCACGTCCTCATCGACTGCAGATTTGAGATTCCAACGTACAATAACAATAATAACAACATTGGTTAGGTTTCTGCCGTTATTGTTACTATTTTGCTTCAATGCTGTCTTATTGTTGTTTCGTTATTTAATTTTTTATTTACTTTTATTTTCTTTAATTTGTTTCTTTTTCTCTTTGAATGACTGGTGATTAATCAAACTAATCACTTGCCAGCAATCCATTTAGGGAGTTTGATTAAAAATTTTATTCACTGCTCATCAATTGTTAGATTTTTCCTGTCTTTGTTTGCTTAGTTTAGTTTATAATTTTAGTAGTATTTATACTTAATAATAATTTGCATTCCATGTTCTGATCTTTCAAATTCGTCGTCATTTAATTATTTAAACTTTAATTTTAATTTTTTGAGGTTTCATTGCTTAGAAACAAGTTGACGTTTTACACCGGACCAAGAATGTTTTTTATGATTCTAATTATATTGTTCATCAAGCTCTCTACATGAATGGAAGAATGAATACATGAACAAAATGATTGAGATAAATAAATTGATGAATTTATAATTTGGAAGGAATAAACGTATAAACAAAATTAAGACATTAAAGGCCTAACAAATGAATGAATGTGTGGACAAAATGAACAAATGAAGGAAGGAAGGGGAAAAAATGAATAAATGGTACTCAGTGTTGTACTCTATGGACAATCATGTAATCATTGCTGTTTCTATAGTCCTCTGCACATTTGCTACTAGGTTCACATTCATGATCATTACGCTGAAGATTAAAATCTCTTACAGAATTTTATAATTTTCATTCTTATGCAGCAGAAAAAATGAAAATATTTGAGTACAATCATTTATTTATTGTAGTTTTGGTTTAAGCCATTTATTTTAACTTATTAAATCTACTTCCGTTTAATTTAAAAAATGAAAAACTGGTTATATTATAAATTATAGCCGCTCGTTCTGTTTAACATTTTATTGAATCTCCACTTCTTTAATTATATGCTGTTTCCTTCCTGTTGTTTTATTTCTTTTTTCCTTGTTCAAACACTATTTTCACATTTGAAAAATAAATTACAGCCATTAATCATAGCACATGTTGCATACCACGCAATTAACCATCAACCCACCACCGAAATGATAATAATAAGAATGATAGATGGTGATGATAAAAATTATCTCAACTGATGGACTGTCTCAACTGACCCTAATGGCTATGATCGCCATAATGGCCATGAAATTTGCAGTAATGATAAGATGATTGATGATAATGTCATCACTCTTTCTACATTTAGGTATGAAACTTTTTATATGTTCAGTGCAGGCAAGGCATATTAATAATTTCTTCCCACACAGAGAACAAACACGTACGGCTACTGATGCAATACTAATGTACATTCTGTGTAATGTTGTTACATCAAGATAAGGTCAATGTATCAAACCAAACCCAACCAACTTCATTTGCATTTTTTGCGCATTCTTCATATTACTCTCTAATTTCAAACGTGATTAAATTTTTATTGATTTTTTGGGATGCTCATCAAAGTGCTGAGTTCTCACTAAGTTATATACAGTCATAACAATATTTCAGTTATAATCCTGTTTCTGAATATATGTGTTAGCGTGTGTGTGTGTATGTGTGTGCGTGCGTGCGTGTGTGCGTTTTTTCTTTATAATTTGTTGATAATATTTACAATAGGCTCTCTGGCAATTTCAGAGAACCCACTGCAAAAGATGAACAACATAGTGGATCAAAGAGTGGTGAGATTCGAAAAAATTTTAACACATTCGGCTTTCATTTGATCATTTGTTTGTGTGTTAATGTATTACACTACTTATGCTTGTTCTCGCCATCTTTTCCACATTCTGCGTCTGGCTGACATGACGTATTTCATATACAAAACGTGTAAGTAACTTTTCTCAATTAATATTTTGTCCTTTTTTTTAGTCACATATTACATCTTCTGACTATGCATTTCATTGCTTATTTTTTGTTCTTTGTATGTAACATCTAAATTGTTAGTTGAAATATTGTTGAAAAATGTTCATGTTACATAATACCACATAATGGAACATGAACAAACTATTTTTTTTGCCGAATATATTGGTGTCATATGCCAATTTTTTGAACAAAGTTTGTTATTCATAATTTATTTTTCAGCGTTTATCCAACGAAAATTTTTTTTTTATTCTTCTAGATTCAGATGAATCAAGATTTATCTCAAAAACAATTTGCAAATCAAGGTTAATATTTAAAGTTCATTTAAATTAAAAAATTATCTTTTATTATTAAATAAGAGATTGATTCTTTATGGATATGTTTAAAGTGTTTTTAGCAGTTTAAAACAAGTTTTTGCCATTTCTACATTTTATAATGAAATTTTAGTGAATGCAATTTTCAAACAAAATGTAGATAATCCATCATGTTCATCTTCATTATTTTCTATTGCCATCATTATCATGAATGTTAATGGCTCATTGTGTTTGGAGGTTTTTTGTGAAGTGAATAAGTGCTACCAGCATATATTAACAAACAAGTGCTGCAAAGATAATACTATTATTATTTGTGAATGTGTATTATCAATTTTATATATTTTATTTGTTCCTAAATCTATTCTTTTTGAATGAATATTTTTAGTTATTCTTTGAAATTTTCACAGTTATGCCATCAGACAAAAGTAATTACATACCATACCATCAGCAAGAGCAACACCATCAACAACAACAACTGCAACATCAACCACAACAACAACAGCATCATCATCAACAACAACAACTGCTACAACGCTCGCAACAACAAAATTGTAACGAAACATTGCCTCAGCAACATTCGCAAACACCTAATCAGCAAGATCAACAATCAAATTTGCTTCCAAACAATATTACATTCAGTGGTAATCAGAAACCTGCATCACAGCAATATGTAAATCATCTCCCTCTCCAGCAACAAACACAATTGGAGCAGCAGAACAAAAGAAATGCACCGTCACAAAAGCAAACAATCAATGATTATTACGACAAACCAAGTTACAAATACTACAACAACCCCAACGGCGGTCAACAGCAGCAACAACAACAACATTCTTCACTGAATGTGTCACAGGATGCATACAGCAACCAGCAACATCGCCACAGACAAGAAAGTCCGTATCGTCAGCACGGTAGAAGTGACAGTGAATCAGAACCAATTTCATACAACAGTCGTGCTCATTCTTACTATACAGAGAGGTCTTTCTATTTATTTTTGTTTTTCAAAATTGTTTTCTCTTTTTTTTTCTGAAAATTGTTTTTTTTTATCTGAATTTGAGATTAAAATTCTTGAAAATGAAAAATTATGGAAATTACTTTTTTTTTAGATACTTGAATTTTGATCATTTTTCAATTTTTTATACCCTAATTTTTTTACTTGATGATGACTTGTAAAACACTTTAACACCAAAGATATAACTATTTTTGGTAGTCAAAATGTGTATATATAAATTTCACATGTAACGTTTATCTGTATTAAAGAAATGTGTATTTCTTCCATTCTAGTCCCAGGGGTAGTGTAGGTTCTTTTGAATATGGCAGCAGGCAGAGTACACTCGACTATTCACCGACCACTGCTGAGGATTATGATACCTGGTTGGTTAATTATCAAATTTCAATTTATTTATTCCATGTGAGTTTTCTTTTTAGTATACCAGTGTTTTTGTGTGTTGCCGGGAAAATGATTCGTAGACTTTTCAGCTTATTTATCATGTCTGTAAAATATCTAAACTTGTTTCATGTTTGTTTGTTTAAAATCGAGTAAACAAATGCAAATATATGTGCAGGTCTGTATGTATAACTACGTTTGTATCATTCAACTTCTACAGTTTTTATTTTGTACACTTTTTTGGAATATTTATTTTTTAGGAAGAACATTAGGTAGGCGGACAATTGAAAAACAAGCGATTGGATTTTGGGAAAAGTTTCCAAGCAACAACATATCAAGCTTCACTTGCATATAAAATTGTTTCAGTAAAATTATGTTTGTCTGATCGTCCTTTATGTACTCAGCTCAGGTTTATAATTCCAGCTTAAATGCGTTAAGAAGGAAGGTTTACATTTGAGGGAGCATTAAATTACCCAGGAGATTGAATTAAAAATTTGATTTAAATTTGCTACTAAAGTATAAGTAGCTTGTGTAATATGTATAATGTTTGTAATTTAGTGTTCAGTCCATTTTTTATTTCAATTTTTATTAATATTTGATGCATAATTACATTTAATATGTTTATTGGACGTTTTCAAATTTGTTTTGTAATAAATTGTGGTTAAGATTTTTTTTTTCATTGAAACATCATGATGCAACAAAACATTTTTAATGAGGCTGCTATTAAATCGTTATTAATATTTTTTTTAATAATTTTTATTGATCCTACCAAATAATTTTAATTTAAAAAAAAACTGTGTAATACATCACTGCAGCATATATGATAGCGACCTGACTCAAGATTATATAAACAACACCAGCCCACCTAACCACTCCTACACGCCAACTGGCGATTATAAATATGAGTACGATAATGATTACATCAACGATGATTACCACAATGACTCTCACTACGATTATGATGGTTATGACGGTGGCTATGATCAGTACGATGGCGGAGGTGAGTACTACGATGATGAGTACATGGACGATCAGTGGTACGATGATGAGGAGGAAATTTGTGAAGATTCGTACGATGATTACAACCATCGAGATATGAGATCTGACTACGATACTGACTATCAAATGTACGATGACGATGATGGATACTATAACGCAGATGACTATCAATATGGAGATGAGTATGATGATTATTATCTGGCTGATGACTATGCTGAAAATGAAGGAGATTATGATTATTATGAAGGAGAGTACGACCATGTTGATGAAAACTATGACAATGTAGGTGATACCTTAGCCAATGGTTATAATTACAGTGATCAGACCTTACCTTACCCAACATCTTACAGCAATTCAATTATAGCTTCTAAAGATTCTGGATACCAGACTTATGACAGGAGGCAATCATTCAATAAAGATCCATCTATCACTCAACT